TAACCTTAAAGGTTTGACAAGAAGAGTCTAGTTAGAGATGTTCACTCAAGTTAAAAGGCTAACAGTACCTGAGGAGAAGAGAAGGAGAACCTTTTAAGGTTTAAGTGTTAGTTAGTGATGCTTTTGGGGATTTTTTGTGGATAAAATTCATGTTTTAAAATGCCTAAGTCATAGTCCAGATCTTAATTCACCTAACAGTTGTTTTTTTTTAATACGATCATCTTTAATCTGACTGGGTTGAAGCTATTTTGCAGAGATTCATTAAAATATTTGTTCAATGGTCTGAATATATACAGTATGTATGCATGTTTGAGAAAAATAATTTTTGCTGACTTCACAAATGAATATTCCCTTTATAAAGTCAGGAGTAAGTTTCAGGGGTATAAACATATTTGTAAGGCACTATACACACATGGCACCTTTTGAAACAGGAATAAAGGATAATAAAATGATTTTACTGCTGCTATGACTTTTTTTAGGGTATGATAAAGGTGCAGGAGGTTATGTTTTTTTTTTTTATAAATTAACTGATGCCAAATTGACTTTCTAAAAAGGGTTCCTGACAGCCACTTAATGTAATTACCTATCCCTTGTTTGAATAGAGAGAGTTACTGCTATAGGAGACCTGAAAAACAGCTCTCAACAGTTAATTTCTGAGAAAGATTTGATCCCTATATCACCAGATTTTTTTCTTTTTTTTTTTTTTATCTTACTCTCTATCCAAGCCCAAAGGAAGTATTTCAATTAATATTCTAAATAATAGCATTTATATATTTTTTTAACTATAGCAGAGTCGTTCTGACAGTGACTTGTTGTGGGAAAGGTCTGAAGTGTGAACTTCTCTCAGTCAGCACTACAGCTCACAAAGAGTTGTAGTGCTGACTGAGTTGTAGTCCTTTTTCAGTTGAGCACAGTAAGTAATCTGTTAAAATTGGACATAAAAGTTTATGGATTAAAATAAACTTTAAAAAAAAGAAAAGAAAAAACAAAACCATGGAAACTGAGAAAGCAAAGATTGCTGTGAAATATTTTAAAAATAGTTCGTTATTTACAACCTTCTGATTTTCTGATAGGTATTTTATTTGAGGATTATCTTTATGCATGCAGTGCATAAACATGTTAAAATGGTATCAATGTTCAGTAGGAGCATTTTAGGTCATTTCTGTAATTCTTCAGCATTTATAGAGCTAGAGCTCGTGATTTCAAGATAAAAGATCTAATTCTTCATCCCTCTGCGATCCTATCACAGAGGAAAGAAGCAACATATTACATGGATTCAATGTACTGACACTGCAGAAACATTGTTTTAAATTATACCTTTATTCAGTTGCTCAAAGAGTCCTTAAATGTAATTAATAATGTTAATTTTACTAGCTCCAAAATTAAAATGTCTATATAAGAATTACGCCCCAGTTTTTGGTTTTTACTGTGAATTTAAAAATGACCTAAACAGTATATTTAGGTCATATTTTAGGTCACCATTTGTGAACTTCTGTACAGAAACATCACGGACCATTGCCAGTGTGGACATTAAAAAAACTATATCTTCTACAAACATAGTCGATCTGATTGAAAACTGGGATACACTTGGCTGCCAAAACGCTGACCTGCAATACAGCATGTTTCAAATGTGCTGAAAGTTACACAGTTTTCATGTTATGCCTACAAACCCAAAGATACTTCACATTTGCAGTGGTGAAACTGAAGGGAAGTAATCCATTTGTTTCTGTTTTTTGCATACAGTGTACGGCACAGTTGATGCAACCAGCTTTTACTGTAATTAGACCAACCAGACTTTTAGAGGATGCTCTTACGCTCCAGCAGCTTTGCACATATTGGAACTGAAAATCCAGCACATTTTCTAGCAGATTTGAAAATGGATTGTGCTCTAGACATTGGCTGTGCTCTTCAAAGATGAAAATGCTCAGATCTAGCTGTGGTTATAAATGTAGGGTGGATGTACCTTCATCTCAGTCTGAAGTGTTTAACATATTTCATCCACGGGTCACCTTGTTTTTAGCTTTTTATCTTATCGTTGAAGTTTTCCCCACAGTACTGTCTTGAGCTATCTAATACACTACACTACAGTTTGGGATTATAACATGATTCTATTCCTCAGCATCACAAAATGCTTAGTCATGTAAATATAACTTCTACTTACCCCACGTAAGGAAGATCTTCTCAAATAAACCGAGCTACTTTTATAAAAGCAAAGTGTGCACATTAAAGTGACTTTTACTGCCACTTGCAGGAGTTGTTTCTTCAAATATAACGTTACAGATAATAATTACACTGTTACTGCACATCTAATTAATCTCTATGTCCGCGGTTAAATATTCACATGACCTGTTATCATAGTTGTGAGATCAGAAGACAAGCAAGTATGAACAGATAGCAGAAAACAGCAGATGTACAGTAATAAGAGCGATACAACATCAGCTAAGTTGTGTATGAGTTGATCCTTATCAATTTTATTCCTCAAAAGAGTTGACCACATTCGCTGCTGTTCGTTTACCAGATTGACAGCGTTGGGTCCTGCTTCATTACAGCCACATAGCTGCCTTCACATTTTTCATTACAAAGACTGACAGGAGCTTATGGATCTGCCACAATCTGATCAATATTCCTGCTAGATCTTCATGCTGATCTTGACGTGGAACACTTTCACTGAAAGGTGGTCTGTTCTTTAAAAAAAAAGGGTTTGGAAACAGTAAAACTATATAATCACATTTTAACATGAGAGAAAAAAAAAACGGGCTGTTCAATTCTACAATAGCAACATTTTTGTGGTCTGCCCACACAATGTTCTGCACACATGCATCTATACAAATTTGTGCCAAATTGGCTTGATGAAAAAAATGAGTAAAAAGCTTTAGAAGCTACTAAGTGGATGTTGAGCAATTAAATAAAAAGCTTCTCTATCGCCCCACAGCCCCGCCTGGTGATAGTCAAAGAGGCTGAGGGAGAAAAAAAAAAGGTCACAAGAGATTTATTTGTTTTCTGTTACATTTCAGCTTCAGTAACAGTTTAAACTCAAAGCAATAAGAATTAGGAAAAAAAACACACCAGAATAATTTTTCTAAAAACGCTTTTTTTGTTGTTATTTTGTTATGCATTGCGATCTCCTCTTACCTTTTGCTCCTAACCCATTTATTTAGCTCTTTACATTTTATTTTTTAACCTGGCCTATATGTTCTCTTGTATCCAGATTTTCCATCATTGGTCTCCTTATTTTTCAACAGAGTGCATGAGAAGTTGGCAAGAGAAGACAATTTGGTATGAGAAATGTATGAGTGTCTGACTGCATCTTCTGCAAATTACTTGAAAAGTGGAGCTAAATTGGTGTCGTTTCAATATCTGTGTTTCTAACCTGTTAAAAAAGTATCTAAGTCTGCATAAACAAAGAAAGTCTTTTTCTAGATAAGCTTCTTTATTCATTTCATGTGAGCTCCCTTTTTAAATCTAACAGAACCATCTTCTCTCACTTTCCTTTGACACTCTGTTCCCACTTGTCTGTTTTGAATTTAATCAATCCAACCCGCTGCTCTAGATTTACTCCACACAATGTCCATCAATTTGACTTTTTTTGGCGGGCTTTATAATCTTAGATTGAAAGCAGTTTAAGGCCATAACATGAGATGCAGATTATGCACTGAATAGAGATGTGTAATCCTTGGATTATGAAAGACTGTGCATGGTTTAGCATTATTGTTTGCATACAAGAATTCCAGTATTAGAGAAATGGAAATTGCTTAGAAGGGTTAGTTGTACAATATACTTTATATCATACATTAAACATGTGTGATTCATTAAGTTCTGGGTGATTACCCTGTGATATATTATCAATGGCTGCTTGATCCCCTTCGCAATTAGATCTGTTATAAATTCAACAAGACATTAGAAAGCCCACTTTAAAGTTGTTGTCCTTTTGGTGATCAGAGCATCACTCACATGCTACAGATTTCTCAGCTGCTTCCTGTTGCAGCACGTCCCAAAGGTGCTCTATTTTATTGACATCTGGTGACTTTAGACAGTATTGGAATACAATGAACTTGTAGGTTTGATCTTTGTGACATGTCTGTTATCCTGTTAAAAGTAGCATCAGAGGACAGATAAATTCTGTTTGTTAAGGGCTGGAGGTGGTCAGCAACAATAATCAGGTAAGCTGTGATATTTCAACACCTGGCTCAATGCGTGCACAAACCATATGCCCCGAACCATTACTTCTGTCAGCCTTGAATGTTAATCTGTGATGGTAAAAAGCTTTGCTTTTTTTATTCAAGAACTGAATGTTCCAGACAAAAGCAAAACTCATTGGACAAGACCTTTTCCTAATGTTTTTTTTTTTCAAAGGGCTGTCTTAGGCATTTTATTTCACACAGCTGCTGCTCATTGGATATTTTCAACCATCCTCTATAAAGAAGATTTCTACAAGTGAAAATCGAATGGATGAGCAGTTTCTAAAATACTCAGACCATCCAATTTGACTCACTCATCAACAATCAACATTTATATCCTATTTTCTTTATAAGAATCCTTAGTTTGAAATTCAGTGATTCTTCTAAGCAGCAAGAAACCAATTGGCTATTAAATGAGTTGCTGCCATGCAACAGGATGATTAACTGCTTACACCCAGATTAAAGAAAGATAGTATTATTCTTAGATTTTATAAAAAACTAAAAATAAGAATAAATAAAATAATCTGCAGAACTTACAAAATAATAATAAAAACAAAAAAATTACATTTGTGGATAAAGGAAAAGAGTAGAAAAAAAGTCTTAGGAAAAACCAACAAGCAAAATGAGATGCAATAAACATTTTAGGACATTATTTCAATTCTAGAACGAAAATAAAACATTTACAAACTGAAGTCAAGAATTAACTGGTGCCAATAAATCACTGATGTATCTAAACAAAAATATATTGTGTCACAGCTAAAATAAAAATAAAGCCAAGCACAAAATGTTGTTAAAGACCGATAGTAAAATAATCAAACATACCTTTCTCTATGAGGTGGTTTTTCCTTTTTTGAGAAGTGAGAACTGGACCGTGAATAAATACAACAGGAGAGGTTAAAAAATGATCGCGTTCGTCTGGGAGCGTCGTCCGCGCGCTGAGGGATGCGGGGTATGGCAAGCCATTTTAACATAAATTCGGGTTGAGATATCTTGACTGTAAAGGCGGTACAACCGAATGTATGTTAAAACTGCTTGTCGGCTTGCCATATACCATACTCGTTGGAAGCCCCTCTACCTCTTCCAATGAGCTGATCACTTCACAGCAGCAGGCAGAGATTGCCCTGACTAGGGACTGTTATGCCAGCAATGACAAACCACAGTCACGATTCAGATTGGAACTAGTAAAATATACTTTATTTCCCACAACACAAGCTTCTTTCTTTTTGTTCTGTTCTTTATACAGCTTAAAGCTACAAAAAATAACAAAATAAATAAATAAGCAACATAAAACACGGAAAGACACTTTCTAACAGCTGAAACAAGGCTTAACGATAAAACTTCATACAGGCACCTATCACTTTTTGCAATTTTTTGGAAAAGTACTCGTTAAACTTTTTTATTTTTTTATTTATTTTTTTATTTACTTTCAAATATATTATTATGAGATAAACCAAAACAAAGCTATTGTATATGAAGGCAAAGGAAAATTATAATTGGTTTACAAATAAAAAATGATTCATAATGAGTGCTGACTACCCTGCTCTGCAGTTAAAGCTGTTTGGGTTTTCTTCTATCAAGTAAACCGAAATTTTCATCCATGTTACAAAATAGTTCAACTTAGAGTAGAACGAACAGCGATATTCTAGTTTTTCCACATATTACATATAAGATCGACTAGTCTTTGCTCTACAGTATTTGGCTCTTTGTTTAACATTCTTTTCCATCTAGTTTAGGTGTTTTGCAGCCCCTCGCTATTCTTTAACAGTTTCCCAGCTCTATCTATCAGTCTGATAAGTTCTTTTTCCCTGCTGAAGAATAGAATCCCACACTCCATGCATTGCTATTTGTTATAGTCCAATGTGTATGGAATGTCTAGGATTACGTGCTGTATTCATTTTCCATAACAAAGTTTTTGGCAGTCTTTTTTTCCCCCGACTCAGCCAACTGGAGCACATTTTTCTACAAGTTTGCTGTGATATTGTTTGTTTCAAAAAATCTAACAAATAAAAATACAGGCATTCTATTAGCAATGACCCCTTACCTGATTTTTTTTAGACATTGGCATGGCAGGCATGTCTTGGTAGGTTTGCTATGGTACCATGTTTCTTACCAGTGATATGTTTAAAGTTCAGGGTATTAATCTGTAATCTAATCCTTTTTAAAACTCCTCTTCATTTTAACCTGAAACTCTCTGGGCTGTTCCTTAGCCTTTGTGATTCCCTTTGATCAACATAGTTAAATTTTCCAGAACCTTCATAGCACAGCTGAATTTATAGCATTCTGTAAACCATTCGTCAGGTTCCATTTGCATGTTTTCTAAGCCAAAACTAGGCTTTGTTTTTGGTCCACTCTATAAAGCCTCGTACTTAACGCAATTTTGAACTGAATTGAAAAAGCTTCCTGGATGGAAAGCAAAACATCTTCAAACTTAGAAACAAAGTCCAGTGGATTGTTTTTTTTAACTTTTTTTTAACCATATATTTTAGTATTTTCGCCTGCCAAATCCCAGGGAATGCAAACAAAAAGATGTTTCTCTGAGGAAAGATAAAGTTTGACAAAAATAAATATTCTGATACCTCCCAGGGACAAAATCTTTTTCTATTAAAAGAGAACTAAACAAGTCGTGATCGCACTGTTAGACCTACAGTAAGGAGAAGAATACAGAGCAACAAATTGGTATGAAAGGTAAAAATAAATAGTTTTGTTCTCCTCTGTCTTCCAAGGCTTTAAAACAAAGCATTGACTGCTGTAGATAGCTGGTAAATGATGACTAAGACATAATACATCAATGCAGGAAAAATTTCTTTTTAAATGAAATATCTTTTGTAATATTTAGTGAACACAAGAAAAGCATAAAATAATTTTTACACTTTAATCTTAAACTGTTTCTAGTATTTAGCATATTATCACAATATCTTCTATTTTTTCTATTAGATATGACAAATGACAAAACAGAGGAACATTTTATTTTTGTTCTTCAAATCTTCAAGTCCACCGATCTGTGCACAGGTTGTTTCGATCCAGCTGCTTTCTCTTTCCTTCAAAGGTATGACTGGCAAGTTACATTTGCAGCTGCAGCTCATTATGCTCATCAGGAGGGCTCTTAAAAGGGAGGCTCAGCAAGAGGACGGATGCCAAATCATTTGCTCACATAAGCGGTAATGATTCTCATCTTTAGTTTTGTTCTACTTTTCCCAGGGCTTTACTAATGTCCTTGTTGTCCTCTTTCATAAAAAAAAAAAAAAACATGTTCCCATATTATCTCTTTTAAAATTCGCGCATCTTAAACATTTGGATTTTCAATTCCTAGAATATAATGTCTCTATGGGAACCTGAATACCTCCACAGCTCTCCCGATTAGGTGTTTCATTACTCAGCTCTCCCGTCTGCCACTCACCTGCCTGTCCACCCTCCAAACCTCTGCAATACTCTGAATTTTCCCTCTGAAGAAGAATAATCTCTGCCTTTAACATCAGCGCTCCCTGTAACCTGTCAAACGCAGTCATGAAATTACCTCCCCAAATCGTTTCTTCTTCACAGAGCAGTAAGCTCCTCAAATGTTCAATCTCCCTCACCATATTTACCTGAAGCATGTTAAGAATGTTCTCCTTCCACCAGTGAAAAATCTGAGATGGCTTCTATCTCTTGTTGCCGAAACATACATTTATGTTTTGAATACATTCTGTAGTATGCATATATTCTTTGTCTTTTCTTGGATGTTGCCTGCTTAAGGGTCTTTTTAAAACAAAGACAGAAAGATCTGGCCTAAAATACCCTGCAGCAAACCTCTGAGCCGGAAACATGACTACATCCCAGCGCCATAATACATTCCCTACATTCTGAACTCCTTGAATGAAGACCTAAAGAATGAGCTGAATAGACGAAACAAGCCTAGCTTTTTTGATACCCTTGTTTCATTATCCATTCATATAGAAAGCCGATTGACTGAAAGAAATGGGTTGCAACAAACACATTATTCAGCTTTTTTGCAGGACTTCCACATTTCACCTGAACCAACAAAACACTCCTCTTCGCTTCTACAGAAAAATGCTGAAACCATACCATTTGGGAACAACATACTCCCTCCTGAAGAGAGACAGAATGGAATGGATACTAACTGTAACCTCTACTGCCCAGTCATTTTATTTCCACCCTTCCCGAACTGCCCAAAAGCCGGAGCCTGCAGTTCAGTTTGGGTTACAGGGTAACATTTAGAGCCAAATTCCCTGGTTTTGTCTCCGACAATCCGTGTATCATTCGTTCTTTCTATTTTCAATTGTCAATCAAAAAACAAAAAGTAAAAAATTGACTGGTTATTTTGTTTTTTGTTTTTTATGGTTAAACCAAAAACGAAAAAAGGATTTGTTTTTCATATATCAATTCTAAGCTCAGATCTAGAATACGAAATGGAAAAACGGACAGCAACGCAGAGTTTGATTTTAATATTTAATCGGTACAGTTTACGTGACCCGGAAGTTTGGTGGAGCTTTAGCTAAAAAAAACAATTGGCTTACCCCCATAGATATCCATAATAAAGGCTTTATTATGGATATCTATGCTTACCTCCACCACGTTCGATCAAGCTGCACCAGATAAGGCAGTCGGACCTATCAGCCATGGACAGTTACGGTCGAGGATCCAAGCGTGTGACTCTTAAGGAGGAGGACATGACAACGGAGAAAATCAGCAGGATTTTCCAGGTATAACTTTTTTCTTGAAACTTTTCTGTGCACTGTACTTTTAACTAGCAACAACAAACAGCGTTCTAGTGTCGCCATGGTAGCCACTTCATCACCCCACTGCCTCGCAAAGAGCTATTTCCGGGTCACGTAAACTGTACCGATTAAATATTAAAATCAAATTCTGCGTTTTTCCATTTCGTATTCTTGATCTGAGCTTAGAATTGATATATGAAAAACAAATCCTTTTTTCGTTTTTGGTTTAACCATAAAAAACAAAAAACAAAATAACCAGTCAATTTTTTATTTTTTGTTTTTTGATTGACAATTGAAAATAGAAAGAACGAATGATACACGGATTTCCGACTCATCTGTTTTGGTGAATAACTTGTTTCCGAGTGAGTTTTATTTGAAACTGGTTCTGAGCAGAACCTACAGTAATTAGTTCTAAGTGCCACAATCTCTTCCTTCACCTGGTCTGGGTCATACTTTGGACTGGAGCCCTCTTTAGACCATAACCTTGTAGACTTTTCATCTGGAGTAAACTATTTAGAAAACTATCATGACAACTCAGATTTTCTTTTCAGCACCCCATACTCACCTGTTCTTGGCCGCAGGAGCAAAATTGTCACAAAAAAATGCAGAGCTCAGAATTGTAGCTCGGAGTTTGCCTTGCTCTTCCACCTGCCTGCAGTCTGCCATCGGTCCTCTCGCTCCTCCTACAGTGAGTACACTATCTCCTTCTGACCTCCCCAGGGTGCCGGCCAAAAAAACATGATTTTAAGAATTTTTTCGGTAAGGAGCACTTTCAATTTCACCTCATTGTCCAAATGATTGTTTCATAAAGCTCTCTGGTGCCCCTCTACCTTCTAGTGGCTTGTGCATGCTTTCCCAATCTGAAAGAGAAGTTCATGGAGCAAAACATCTCTGGAAATAGATATATTCTGCCCATTCCCTTCTTCAGTCAGCGTTGGCCTCCTCTTTGTGAAAAACGTCTTTTCAGCCACGTAGTGGTTACAGGATCAAACAAACATGCCAGTTGGGTCACTAGAATCTCATCCACCGCTTTTGCTTTGCCCTGAAGCACTCCTGAGCCACCCTCTACATATAGATGACATCTAAATTGCTGTCTGGACCTAAAAATTGTTTTCAGTGTGAAGATGGTTGTGCACATATTTTTTGCAATGGTTCTAGCTGTGTGGACTATGGGTAACAGTTATGTGAATAGAGGTACCGGTATGTCCATGCACAGTTATTTGCTTACTTATTTGATTTTGGACTCATAAGTTAAGTAGGAATCACATTTAGCTTGAGTCCTTTTAATATTACATTGCAGGCAAATCCCTTCTGAATTCACTCCAATGGTAAATTGACCTGTAATTGTTCTCTGAAGTTTTTCAGTATTATGTATTTAAGTTAACCTTTGATGTTCCCTACTTGTACTTTGACCCATCAGATAGTTGATTGAACAGTATGCTGTAATAATTTTTAATGCTTGAGATAGGCTTTTTCTTATAACACATCTTTTGATAAGACCTGCTATTTTTAACATTTGAATAATGCACCATTGGCATCATGGTGAGTTTTTGTTGTTGTTGTACTTTTTGGAGCACATAGTGTACAGAGCACTGCGTCGTTTCTGTTTAAGAGATTGAAATGAAAATACACTAATCCTCTGGGTGAAACAATGTGATGTCACTGAACAAAAATAGTATGAATATCAAAATAAACCATGGACCTAAATATTGAAAGACATTAAGAGGTACTGTGTTCTTATGAAATAATCCTGTATTTAACTCTCAGCAGCTTATTTCTGACCTGAATGTAGTTTTCTTTTACTTAAAAAAAACAGTTTTATAAAGCACAAGTAGTTTTCATTTATTGCTTAGCTAACTTCTGAATATACTTGATTGTGGTAGCTGTTATTCATGGGTGTAAGTGCAAACACGGTTAAATAGAAGGGAAAGCTACACAGATAATAATTAAAAAATCTGGTAAACATGCAAGCCATTTCTTTCAAGTTTAATTGATGTTATTTCTATTAGCCTATCACCAATATAAATTAACCCCATTTACTAATTAAGTTATATCTGAAGTGAATATGCTCTAATTTAATTTAAAGTGATCACAGTAAAATACGCACTGACTACAAACACACACTAAACTTTTTGAGATTTCTGTTTCTTGAAATGGTTTGAACCTTTTCCTTCAAAATTTGGGTTATGACCTGCTTCGAAACAAATAATCATATGAAATACACATAAAAGACAAAACAACACAAGTCCACTAAGCAAAAGAAAATATGAAAAACACAATTATATAGAGTGATTCATTCATGGCCAAAACACTCAACAAGTCAAACTTAAAGGAGATGCATTTCACTCATTTGTGTTTATCATAGCAGATTCAGAGATAAATCTACATAAGAGGATCAGTGATAGTCATCCACATGGACCATGTAACCATCCGCCTGATGTTTTATACTAAGAGCTGATGAAAAGCAATCTGAAGCATCTTTAGTTCACAACCAAAAGATTTTGACTTGAACGGAGTATTTTATACTGATGACATTGAATGTAAACAATTCAACATCCATTTTTATATTGCATTCTGTAGAGAATATTTTTTAAATAGAAAAATATACACCCAGAGCAGATAGGATTAATATATCCTGCAGATATATTAATCCTATCTGAGAAGACCATTCTATCTCAAACACTGAATTTTTTCAAAATCACATGTAGAGGCTGTCAGTGATGTGACTATAAGCCAATGATAAAGGGCTACCTGACTTAGCATTTCCAGCCAGGGCAGATCTATTGAATATGTAAATCAACATTGCCTGTGAGTGGTAATCACAGTCTCTCATGTTTATCCTGTTTTTTTTTTTTTTTTATTAATTCATAGGAATTTATTGAATATCTGTCGCCTTAATGCAGGTGTTGCCCACTTTACTTTCTTTCTAGCAAGAGAACTTTATTTGGGCAAATTATCCTCTTCAGGTGAGCATTTCGATCCACTGAGGGCACTTTGCTCCTACGCTTCGCTGCTCTGGTAGCATTTGATAGGCAGGGAGGAGCTAAGCTTAAAGTAGGAGCTGTCTTATGAATTTACATGCATGCATGGCTGGCCCAGCTTGTAGACATCACACTGGAGAAAACACAGGAAGATTGTGTGTGACATCACACCATATTCTATCTAAAAAGATACCTTTAGTCATACACATCACTATTCTTTATTTCTTTCCATCTAAAACAATGAATTATGCTTATTGCTCCTTTAAATATCTAACTAAAACTAAACGTTGCTTTTTTTCCTGTGTAAACACACTTCCACACCAAAGCCAACCAGGAGGCCTTCAGATAAAGTGTTGCTCCTGATCTGAAATAGATTAATCATTTGCAAAATATATGACAGACATGGAACGACTGGATTCTAGGAGTTAGCTGAAGAACATCGCATTATAATAGATCAAGCAACATCATTTTTAAGTATGTTGCTTATATCCATCTTAAAACTGAAAATACTGAATAACACATATTGAACCTATATTTAGCTTAATATGGATAACAAATAATGAATGTAATTAAGTAACAAACTGAGATTTTCAATCTGAGAATCGGGTAGATAATGGCCAGTTTGTTCCACCTGCCAACAAGATAGCTAGAACTGCATTCTCACCATTAATCAGGTTTCCACTGGTAATCGCTGCAAATGAGTCAGATTGATGTTATTGCCACAACGTCTTGCCCTTCAGAGCTTCAAAGTAAGATGGATGACGCTCATAACAGATGGCAGGGAAGCCATCAGATAAATCAACCTTATATCAGAGGCGCCACTTCCATTTCTGCAGTGGTCACATGCATCATGATGCGTATCAGGTGCTGCTTGAGTGAGTGTTTTTAGATTTCACAAATTAAAAGCCACATAGTTCGCTCTCATGCAAAAATAAATCGAAAATCTTGTTTTTTAAAACCTCACTTTATTTATTTTTTTTCTTATTTTGAAAACACAACAAATAATATATCAGTTCATAAGGCTTATTCCAACACTTCTGATTGAGATGTTTTGCCATGCAATTATATTACGTTATTCAACAACACACGATGAACACATCTTATGGAAACACTGTTTACTTGCAACTAGAATTATTACTCTGATATGTTGGACAGCTATTTATATTTAGCAAATAAGAGACACCAAAAAGTGAACATTTATCTCATCAGCTCATAGGGTGAAAGTACAGCGTGCAAACCTGAGACAGTCGCTAAGAGAAAAAGCCATCTTGTACAGAGAAGTTAAATCCACTGCAGCATCTTGTTCAGTATAAGAAGACTGCTGATAGATGTTGCCGGCTATTCAATCGTATCTGTAAATGTATTTTTTTTTTTTTACAATTACAGTGGAAATTTGTAAGAAACGCTGGTCAAAAAAAACTTTGAAATCTTCTCTTAAGGCAGAGTCAAGAGTCTGAATGTGGCGTTGCTCTTCTCTGGTCCTGAAAGAGTTCAAATAAAAACAACCTAAATAAGACACTTAATAAGAAAGCTTATTCATACAGGAAATTCATTTAAAAATCAAGTGTAGGCAAGTGTAATCATGTACAAAGCAAAAAAGGAAAAAAGATTTGAGTTTTCTCCTTCTAAATTAATCAAATATGGTCACAAGATTTGGATTTTTGAAAGAAGATCCCAGACACGTGTTAATAAAATTCTGTTTGAGGCCATCTCACAGAGACAGAGTGATGAGTTCAGTCAACCAAGAGGAAGTAGGAGTTGAGCCCTATCCACATCAGGAGTCAGTTGGGAATCTGATCAATATTCCGATCAGTCTCATTAAAGACACCAGGAAAGACATCCAATTCATTGCAGAGCAACAGATAGCCTTTAGTTTGGGAACATCACATGAGCCTGGATTTTCTTTCCTTACATTTACTGTGACCTGATCTTTGATAAGTGGAAGCAATGTAATAGATTGACTTTAATCAATTCATGTTTTTTAAGTCTAGCTGAATATGCTACCAGTGCTGTGAGTTAAGATTGCTCCATACAGACCACAAAGGCTTGGATCTACTACAAACCTTGTGTTGGTAAAGTGATTGTTGTGCTTCAGAGTTAAAACTTGAAGTAGTAATGAAAGTAGTGGAGTTGGTTACCTCCTAAGCCAGTCTGAGACAGACTGAACAAGGAAACACTGATTTCCAAGGCAGGTTCACCTCTACTGTTAGTATTTTAGCCATTTTTACTTTCTCAAAAAGACTGTTTATCTTACTACCTTCTTCTTTTATTAAACTTTAATCATTTTATTTCCCTTATCTATGTTTTAAACAGCAGAAAAAAAATATTGTTAGCACTCCCTTTTCTTCTAATCTGTGTCTCACCTTTTACAGGAGTGAACAGGGCTTCTTCTTGACCTTGGCAGGCTGAGGGCAGAGCACAGCCCGGATGGCCTCATCAAACACTGTTTTCAAGCCACGCTGAGTCAAGGCCGAACACTCCAGGTATTTAACAGCATCTGAAAACACAGAGACAGACACACATATGCACATGAAGCTTCAAAGAGAGCAGAGATGTAACAGCAGTATAAACTAAACTGAATTCTTTTTCGAGAGAGTGAAGTTAAGGTATAAAGATGTTCAAAACCTGAAGAAAGCATCACTAGTGTAACTGACCTATCTCTTTAGCCAGAGCCAGACCCTGTGGATAAGTGATGGGTGCCAGCTTCTTTTCCTTCAGCTTCTCAATGGTGTCCTTCTCATCTCTCAGATCCAGCTTGGTGCCCACCAGGATGATGGGAGTGGATGGGCAGTGATGACGAACCTCTGGGTACCACTGACAACCAAGAGAATGGTTTAAGGAAAATCTGCACACCATTTGTTCATGATACACAAATGAAGGAACATTCACAAAAATGTGAATCAAACTTGATGCAAGATGGGCTTTACATGAAAACTGAGTTTTACTTTCGAAATTACAGCTTTTGCGTTTCAGCTCTTTGTCACTGTGTTTCCTGTTTAATCCATTTTTCTTACTCAGTCTTCCCTTCACTTCTATACTTTCTTCATCTTTTATCATCAGTCTCTTTTCCTGTCCATTAGCCCGTGATTGACGTGGCATTTGACTGACAAATGCAACCATCTTAATTAAGTAGCTGTTGGCGTGCATCAAAGCTATTTAATTCACATGTAGAAATGATGGGAATCACCAAATGAATCATTCTGATGCTACCTTTCGCAGATTTGTTGTCACCTTCTTTAGGACCATTTAACAAAGTAAAACTCATTTTAAAAGATGTTATTTCTTTGAATAATATACTATTGTGAATTGGTTACTATTGCAATAGGCATCCAGTGTAGAATGCTGCATAATTATCTGTGAATGAATTAAATATTTTTCATATAAAGATATGCGATAATGACAAATTAAATAACTGAGCTGCCCTGATTTAATTTATCTTTGCATTACTGCTTATCACTGTTAATTTAGATGATTTTTTTCAGGAGGTTTTATTTGTTTTGAAACATTTTTCTTCCTGATTTTATGTTTTTTACTGAGTAGTTTTAGCAATATTAGTGTGAAACCTTAATATTTACTTTTGAATATGTATAGGGTAAACATACATTGTAAATATAAGGAAACTAAAAGCTCTTTATCAATTTAATTTCATTTATAAATCTTCCTCAGGGAGGCAAACAAATTAGAAATCCCTTTAAAGAGACATTCTATAGTATAACCCATTGAAGCAAATTCTCAATCAACATGCATTCACCCCTAATCATTTAACACTTGAATGTCTTATTTAAAAAAAAAATGCATAAGTCATCTTATGCTTAGACACACTAAACGTACATTCATGCTGATTTTGCAGTTTCTACCTTAAAAAACCTGCTGCTGCTATTTTGCACATCAATGATGTTGCTGCTATTTTCAAATATTAACTACTGTAAAAATATCCATAGCTGTATTTTTTTTCTCCATGTGCAGTTTTTATATTGTTAAAACACTTTACAGTACAGTATGTACATTTTTTTATCTTTTAACTCTTCACTATTTTTATTCTTACAGATTTTTCTAAGGTCCACATTTGTGTGACCATTTTTTCTATTATCTTTTTTCTGTTTTAAAAACTAAAATTTCCCCATTGTGGGACAATAGAGGGATTTTCTTTTCTATTCTATTCTATTCTTATATGGTCAACACCTGTAAATTAAAGGAAGTTATAAAGTAAAACAACAAAAACAATAATGAAGAAGTCATAAAAAAAATCTTGGTTGAGACCTGGGAATTTTTTTGGCTTGTGGTTAAAAATCCAAAAGGTATATTTATTATTATCTACTATTTCACCATTTTATTTCTTTAATTGCATTTTTTTTTCTGAAGCATTCTCAGGTGTTGTTATTAATGATGGTTATTAAGCAAATTAAGAATCACCGAGTTCCACAAAGCTTTTCATAGGTCCACATCAGAACTGAAACTCACCTTTGCTCTGACGTTCTCATAGGATGCTGGGCTCACCAGCGAAAAACAGATAAGGAAGACATCCTAGATATAAAAACAACAACAAAAGATAAGGCATATATTATGTAGTAGACAGGATATTTATTCATTCATATTTATTATTTTATACCTTCACCAACTAAATTTTATTCAATCTAAAGTGCATATTGCAGTTTTGCATGTAATTAAATATTGATCTGGTAATATGTGTATCCATTCCATCTTAAATACTGGTTTCTGCAGTTCCTTAGCATCTTTAGTATTTGATAATGATATATTCCATGCTAGATAGTTCAGTTCCTTTAACTGTCTGTGTCATTCTGAAGAACATTTTTCTTTATTTCCTTCCCTGTTGCTTCGATCGATGAGAATGTGATTTTTTTTTAGACTGAAGTTTGTTATGATTTGACAGCTACAATTTAAATTCCAATACTCTCCACAGCTGGAGACAGAATAGATTTAGTTTTGTAATGAAATGCCTGGCATGTGCACTTGGCCATGTGGAAATGACTACATACCGTCTGGGGGTATGACAGAGGGCGAAGTCTGTCGTAATCTTCCTGTCCTGCTGTATCCCAGAGGCCCAAGTTTACTGGCTTGCTGTCCACCATGACATTAGCCGAGTAATTGTCAAAGCTGTCAAAAACACAGAAGGTCAGTCATCAGTCAGAGGACCAGTAACTCAGTCCTTTTGAAGCAGTCATTAAAACCATCAGTTAGTTGATATATAGTTGCCAAAGACATTGGTTCCCAATATAATTTTAAGAAAAATGATCTAATCTAAGAAAGGATAGGGTTTGTGTCCAAAAGGAAAGAATTCATTATTCAGAGAAAACATTTAAGAAATATTTATAGCACAATAGAACACAACCATCAAGAACATAATAAACAAAACAAAAATAAAAAATGTATATATATATTTTTTGTTATTCTTTATTTAGAGGTGTTAGTTACTGGGTACAGATTTCAAGCAACACTGCCTCTTAGTGGCCAAGCTGAAGCACTGCAGCCTCCTCTTTGAGCCAGTGTGACACTTATCAATATGCAGCCTCAGATCAAAAACATAGGGCTGCTGTTGCTGCAAAACAAAGCTTTACCCAAAATGGTTCAAATCTATTTTGCTGAAATGTGTTGCTTGTAATGTTACCAAAACAGACTTAAAACTACAGATAAGACAACTAGCTCTTTTTATACCAGGGTCAAAGTGATGCTTTTTTTTTTTTTTTTTTTTTTTGGTGAAGTTCAAACATTAAGCTTCACATTGGCTTCCATATTCAAAATTTAAGGTGAAGCTCAGTGCAAGTGTGCTGGTCAAGAATGGGTCTTTCTCACTCTGTTACTCCAAGCTAATTGCTCAAAAGTTAACTTAGAGTAACACATTGTATTTAGCCAATCTTCTGCATGTGCTGAGGAATTATTTATTCATTTCATTCATATATTAAACAAATCTGGATATGATTCTTTTGCACCTAAACTGAGTCAAGATTCACTTACCTACTGGATACACAGAGTATTCTCTCTGAGGAGTAATTCACCAACTAGTATGCCTACCATACTGGAATGATACCACTGTTACAAAATCCTTCACTCCTGTACCGCATAAATCTGCACATTTATAATTTCCACTGCAAAACACTGATCTTTAAAGTGTCTAAACAAGGAGTCCTAAATTGCCTGTGAAAGTGCAATAAGTTTGTACGTTGTGAATGATCTAAATGATTGTGTGCATGATGGATTTCGTCCGGCCAATTCAAATGAAGACATTGTGTGTGATACTGGCAGTTTGGAAGTGGCCAAGAAAGGCAGTTAAAGTTCTTAACAATGGCGGTGGCGGGATTAATGAAAAGACCAAAAAGATTGAAAACAATAAATTTATTAAGTGAACAATAAAAATAATTATGAATTTATTGCATAATACTTTATGAAACCCAACTTTAAGTGCTAGAAGCAAAACTAAAAAAACAAAATGTAAAAAAAATTGTGGCAGAGAACCAGCTTTCTGTCTCTGACTGGCAGATTGTCCGAAAAGGAGCCATGGTCAGACTTAGAGTTGGATTAAGCTCTAAGACATTACATCCACCAGCTTCAACACCCTCTTGGCCCAAAATATTGCAAACTAAGATAAGGGAAGACTGAATTAATACAACATGCTTTATAAAGAGTCTGAAAAGGAAACATGGCGGAAGGATTTTTTTTATTTCTCATGTCAGGGATGCACACTTCCAGGTGCAAAGTGCATAGGGAAAATTATGCTTATTACTCCTCCTTTAATTTCCCTGTTTTTTTATAAACATACCACAGTATATAAGTTAAGCCATGGTGTTTTTCATAATCTATCCGTTGCAGGTGTCTTTTTCCCTACTAATACAATCCAATTATTGTCATTTCTGACAGTCTAAATAAGTTCACATGTGCAGAGACTATCTCTCCACCAATATGTACTTTGCACACGTTTTTGAGTTTTAATGTGTTTTTAGACACTCAAACCTTTTGAAGATCAGGCCCACAGAAAATACTGCTAAGGGTTGATTCACCAACAAGTTCTGCAGTGGAAGTGTCACTGAGTCACTCACTCGTGTTCTGCAAGATTCAGTTCATGATTCATGTGATAAAGACTCTGAGTATGCGAATCATTTGCATACTGAAAGTGGTGCTGTGTCATATATTCACATACTAAACCAATGAACTAAATAGGATAGATAAGAGGTACTATGATTAATGTAAAAACATTTTTTTTGCCAATGTTAACTAAAAAGAGATCCCTTCTATTTCTTTTTTCAGAAATAATAGATATTTAGAATTGTATTGTTGAATCACTTCTGGTTGACAAAACTTATGGAGAGCATAAAAAGTTGGTGTGATCCTTAATACCTTTTTTTTAACTGTAAAGAACAGAAAATGCAGTTAAAGGTAAATGAATAGCACACTTAATGTGACCAAAGCCCTATTTACTGCTTATTCTAAATGAAAAAGACAGAAAATATTGAACAAATCTTTAAAACGAATGACTTAAATGAACTGATTCTGACAATAGTTCTCTAAAGAACTGCCGTTCCCTATCAATACAGGAATAACTAAGAGCACCATGCTGCAGGTGCAGGGCAATGCCATTTTTACAACTGATTGTGCACACCAGATGTGGGCCCCAAAATCAAAATGGATCCAAACAGGAAGTTAATAAATTAGTTAAATCTATGGACATTAGGTTTAGGTTTCTCATCCACCAATGTGAGGATTAGGGTTAGCCCTTAAAGGAATAGTACACCCAAAACATGATTAGCCTTAATTTTCTACTCACCCCCATGCTGACAGTAGTGTATAGTATTTCCTAAAAGCGCGTTCATGAGTCTACGGAAATCGCGGCAGACCAAACCAGATGAAAGTGCGCATTCAGCTCGGCAAAGAACTCATGCTCTTCCTCAACACTCAAATCCTCAGACATTTTTCTTTCGTTATTTCTTTCTTTGCACAGGTAAACAGCACATTTCTTCTTCTACGCTTGCATTATCGGCAGAGCAGACGCTGAATGCGCACTTTCATCTGGTTTGGTCTGCCGGTTTCCATAGCGTCGTGAACGTGCGGGCGCGCGCTTTCAGGAAATCCTATACACTACTGTTTATGCTCTAAAAACATTCTAAATGACTTCGTTTCGAGTAAATTATGGACGCTACCCGCTCAGGACACTTGGAATACATTGGACGAGCAGTATGGAGGAATATTGACACGTTTTTTGTGGACTTTTATGGACCTTTCTGTCTCGGGCACCATAGACCTCCATTATTTGAATGTCAGCAGACAGCAAGAAGCCTCCCAGATCTCCAGATGCATTTGAGATATCAAAAAAGTACTCCAGAGTGTTGTTCAGCATGGGGGTGAGTAGAAAATGAAGGCTAATCATGTTTTGGGTGTACTATTCCTTTAAGGAGAAGGGATTTAGGCCATTGTAGGTTTCCCTTTCACACTTCTGGTCTGAACTTTTTGTGTTTGACAGAACTTTAATGGTAAAAATATAGACCAAGTAAAATAAGTATGTATAGCTCAAATAAATAAGGAACGGTTTTAAAACACCTATAAGTTGACATGTATGTTAAAAAACCCATGCAATAAAAAAAATAAATAAATAAAACTATGAATTGCCTAAAGTTTGGAAATTAAAATAATCATCTTCTGGTTCACACTTCTGATATGCATTGTAAAAATGGCGGCTTCCTGTTGCTGTAGTAGCATGCCTCTGTATCGCTGTCAGAGTTGATAGCAACACAAGTTTTCCGTTTGCATTGTGCAGTGAGACCGATCCGTCCGCAATATGATTACTCATTGCACACATCTAGAACTGAATTTTTATGCTGATTTTGTCACACTGTCTTTGCAAGATTAAAATAGTCATTGGTTTATCTAACTTGCAAAGTTTAACATGCTTCACTGGAGTAAAACTGAAAGCAAAAATGTTTATTTGATGGTAAATAATCTTCTGTACTGATTTTATTACCATTGCTCAACCTGCTTCTGCTGGGGGAAAATGTGTTTCCTGAATAAATAACTGCTTTTATGTGAAAGCATAATATTATACTAAATAGGTATATTTAAATGTGAAATCTTATTGAATTTTATGTTATTTAATCATTTTTCTTTGATTGAAACATCTGGCAATGGGCGACAGTAGCTCAGGAGGTAGTAGTTCATCCTGTAGCTGCTCGGTTACTTTGACCTCGTCTCTTTCCATCTCAGTCACTGTGTCCTTAAAGCTGCAGTCTGTAACATTGAGGAGAGAGCACACTTCGACTGAAAATTTGAAGAAAAACAGGTTTCACGCCATTCCCCCACCCTCTCTGCTTCAACCTCCAAGCTCCACCCCTCTCACAGCACCAGAAGGGGGGGGGGGGGGGGGGGGGGTGGGAGATTCAGCGTGTGTGAGCTGTGATTGGCACTCCATCAGACGCTCTTCTGGCTGTGATTGGTTGTTTTGACTCGTCCCGAATTATTCTTTCCAGATTGAAATACAGGCAGTAGGCGGTACCAATTGAAGCAGTTTTTTTCACAGGTTACATATCACATGTACTGCTGTCTGGGCATAGGGACAGTTTTAGCCAATATGACAAAAAAGTGATTTTTAAAAACTTACAGACTTCAGCTTTAAGCAAGGCACTTCACCTGGCTTGCCAGCTTTGCCGGTCAGAGGGCGTAGTGGTGCCAACTGTAAAGCAGCTTTGCTTCTGTCAGTTTGCTTCGGAGCAGCTTTGGCTAAAACATAGCATACTACCATCACTGTGTAAACGAGGGAAAGACTGAATGCAGTGTGAAATGCTTTGGGGTCCTAGAACTTGAATTACAAGTTCAGATACTATTTACTGTATAAGCAGAAAACCAAAGAGTGTAATATTTCACTCTAAAGTGTAATGCCTCTATTGTAGAACCCTGTTGTGTTTTTGGGTCAGTGACACGTAGAAAGGAAATGTGAGTGAAAATCTCTTCCTCTTGCAGGTTTGACGACACTTCAGCTTCACAAGATTTCTATATTCCCCACCTGAGTGTTGCTGCTAGCCCAAACCTGTTCCTGTTACCATTGCCAGACATCTACAGCTGCTATTATAACAAAGACAACAAAATTCAAAGCATTTGGAGTTTAATGTGGTGTCAGCGTTGTTGCAGATAAATGTCCATATATGATGATGTTTTTCTGTAGCGTTAGAGATCTAACTGCAGAAAATATGTGAGTGTGTATGTTTGTGTTATACTCACACAGTGGGAATGTATTCCCCAGGGAAGGCATTGGTTGTATAGCTGATGAGAAGACATGTTTTACCCACAGCTCTGGAAGAGAAAAAAACACACAGAGATTGTCAGTGTGTTTTATTTTATACAATATATTGATTTATTAACTGCTATGTACCAAATCAGCACAGTATAAACTCTCCTTATACAGTGTGCTGAAATAAAAGAAACAATACAACAAAAATAACACACTCTTCTATCTTGCATGAACAGGAAACAATGTGGTAAATATAATGGCTGAAATTAGTTACTGATGTATGACCTACTTATTTTCAGAGCTGTCTAAACCCCTGCGTCTTCAAAATGTTAGCAGCTTGGTCATTTATGATTGTGCAACAGTTTCATATATTATCAACCAGTATATATGAAAAAAATGCATGCACTAATGTTGGCTATACTGAGTGGAAAAGTTGCTTTCACACTGTGTCTTGGTTTAGGGTTCAGAATAGAACAATTTCATTGTAAACAGAACAAAAATAAAAACACAAAAAAAAACAGCACTGCAGGCTACAAAACAAGACAGAATTACAGGAGCTGCTTCAACAAACGCCTTGACGAAACTGCAGAACTGCACGATTCAACTTGTTCCAACTTGCTCGGTTCTAATTTGGTTCAAGGAATTTGCTCTTAGTGTTTAACAACAACACATCCCTGTTTCACAAAAAAAAAAAAAAAAAATCATATGTCGAATAGATGAAGTTCTTACGAAATCCTCCTTTAGTCACACACTGTAAGGAATTTCTGAGAAGATATTTTCTATGAATAGAGGCACCCAATAGTACTTTTCTTGACAATGTTCTGTTCTGACAATGGTATTTTCAACTTTTTTTTTTTTAATACGTCTTTTGTAATAAAAGGCTTCATACGGACATGTCAGCTCACCACAGAGTGTCTGTAACTATTTTCCACACTCAGACAAAAACTTTTAAAACAAAATGCTTTTATTTCTGACAGTCCTTTTTTTTCTACTTTTTTGTTTCTGATGTCACAATCAGATCCTAAGATCTTGTTTTAATGAAAAACATCACACAGTCAGACTTATGGAAAAATACAGATATAGCTCTAAATATATACACAATTAAACATTTCATAGATATTATTTAGAGTTATAGTCACGCTTTTCAAAAACAAAATAAAAATTCACAACAACACACTAGATTATATGTTTGTGCTCATTCTAAAAGCATCACAGACATAATTAAATAGTGTTTAAATCTTACTCTGAAATATTGCCAAGGTATTAATCATACATTACAAACACTGGAATATATCCTTGGTATAAAAGGTGAACTTCTATGCACAGAATATATGATTAATTTGTTATATGGTACAGTTATAATTGTTCTTTCCCCCTTTCTGCCTGGTTTAGGTTTCCTATTTTCTCTATTACTTTTTTCTGTAACTTCATCTTATTTCTGTCAACAGCTAAACCTTCCAAAATTATAATAATTTTAATAATGGAGAGTATTTAGAATAACTACAAAAACTGTAAAAAAAAAAAAAAAAAAAAAAAAATATATATATATATATATATATATATATATATATATATATATATATATATATATATATATATATATATATATATATATATATATATATATATATATATATATACAGTTCTTATCTTGAATAGCTACAAGAAGATAGAACAAATGAAAAAACAAATCTCTTATGAATGCTTTTCTGGGCCAGTGGCACCTTCAACCCGCTGCCTGATGGAGGAAGCAAGATACGGAAGTAAGATCTAACTAAACAACAAAAACATGTAAATAAATGTCTAATATTATAGTCAAATGTTTAACAGGAAGGTTACCCCTAAAGATTTTAGATGATAAATGGTGTTATTTTACCGAGAAGCCGAATTTTGTGCTTATGCATGTGTTTGATTCGCGGCGAGTGTGTATGAGTGTCAAAAAGGACAACAAGGAAGTGATCTATTTGAGAAGCATCGGTTTAAGCTAAAAACAGGAACCGGCCATTTTCCGAATAGACTTAACTAAAACAAACCTAACTTTAATGCAAAATAACTTCATAAACAAACTTAAGTCTTATTAGGATTTTTCTTTTTTTCTCTCCTTCTATGTCTTAACTTCATTCTGAGTTTTACAAATTCTAAAAGTCTTTTTTGTTTTTCTTTTTTTACCTTTTTGGTCTAAAAAAACATGACTTTCACAGGAAACAGGAAAACTTAGCCAATAAACTGTTTTGTTCTTTTTTTTTGTTTGCCACAATGACTCATAGATATAGAGCTGTTTGAAATAAAATGATTTATATTCCAGAACAGAAATTAAATTGGCAGTTTGCCACTCTGGTCATTTTACAATTTATTTCCAGGCATTTTTAAGTAGCTCCTTAATAGAGCTATGTCTGATAATAGTTTGATTTCATGTCCAGTTAAGCCAGGGTTCAACAATTAACTTCTTCCAAGGGCTACTCAACCATAGCAGCAATAATGTGATAACAACATGGATAAATCTAATGTTCTGCTATGGGGATATGTATCCTCTTACTAAGATTCCCTTACCTTGGCCTGCTGATGTTTGGAAAGCCCAACATGATAGAAGCACTGCTGGCCCCATTTCATGATTAAAATCAGTCCATAATTATATATTATATAAGATCTTGTTGACAGTGCTTGTCAGCAAAATATAAATCACGGGCCTTTTACAACAAGATGGTCTGATGATTGTTAAGAATAAAAAAAATAGTAAATACGTCAGTGATAGTGATATCTGTTGGTTGTGCTGTACTTTTTACATCTCTTTGCAGGTGATGAAGCAGACTGAGGATGTTTTATCATTGTATCCCTTTTATTTCTTTTTCTTTTATCTTTTCTCCTTTTCTTTTCCTTTCCTGTTCTACTTACATTGCAGTGTCCATATAATTTGTAATACTCCCTGCATAAATTATAATAAAGCTATATTTATGCATGAATCAAGCGAAACACTATGGCGATAGCTGTACTGCCATACAGTACTTGTGGAAGCAAAATCTGTTGGGCTCTTTTTGGCATCAAGACAATTATTCTTATTGCCACATTGCCAGAGAGGACACTGTTGAATAAAATAGTGATATACATTATTTAGAATTTTATTTGAATAAATTACATTTACGTTGAAACCTGCGGTTTGATGCCATAAAGAAACACTAAAACACAATTTTCCTTCTTATATCATCATCATCATCATCTTTTTATTTCCTTTTTCAAAACAGCAGGTGAAAAAAAGATAGAATGCAAACTTGGTTATAATTACATTCCTAATAAATGTATTTTGTATTAAAACACCAGTTTGGGCTGGTAAAAATGTCTGGCCCTGATTCTGTCAGCCTTAATCCTTGAGTAATGTTTGTATGACTTTATTAGACAAAATAAATACATGTGAACTAAGATACATTATTTTGGTGCTTTACAAAGTAAATCTCAGTGGATTTTCCCTCCATATCTTATTTGGTCTATTGTCAACAATCATTTTTTATGTTGGCTTACTTTGACGTCCTAACATTTTAAAGCAATACTGGGTAACTTATAGACCATATAGACCTCTAACCTTTAGTTCATAGTTGCCAATTGCTTTTAGCGCTCCTGAAAGCAACTGGCAACTTTGCACTGTCCTGTATTATCCCATCTGATAGCAGACCTCTTTAGAACAGCCAGTTGAAAAGTGATAGAGTTACTTTTTTTTTGTAGATTAAATTCTTCATAACCAACCACAAATTGGTCTGATCAGGTAGATGCCATATCTGCGTTGTTGCCTAACAACAACTGTTAGTTTTGCTAGCTCTGGCTGAAGGGGGACTCAGACTACCATAAAGTGGTCCTATGGATCACTTCACTCATTCAGTGACAGATCCAACCCTCTCCATTTACATACTGAGTTTTTGAGAAGAGCAGTCCGTATGCAGCATACAGTAGACCAACTCCTAAATACTGACCTGAAAAATCGTTTAATATGTCTGAAAATAAACGATTACATGACTGAAAAGTTAATCTGATTTGCTTTGTCCAATCTTAACATCTTAACATATAATAAATATGGATCTATATGGATCATAGCTTGAAATCTATATGCAAGTCCAAACATTTGGAAATAACTATGCTAAGTAACACACACAGCCAACCCAAGCCACTAACCCTTTGTATTTACTGTTACACAAAATGTTAAATTACTTCAATTTATGCTGGACACTAAACTGTCTTACAGTGTAACTTAGTAAAATGATTTTAACACAGTTAACGTCTAAAAAATGTATGATATAAATAATGTAAAGTGTTGTCCTATTGGCAACAGTGTATGGATAGAGCTAAGAAGTGAATGGGCTGCAAACATTTGCACTTCTACACATGTAAACATAATTTACTCTTTTCCCCTACTGCATATGACATGTCTTCTCTGAATTATTGTTGATAAATGCTCTAGTGCCTTCAGTATAGGTTGTATTAGCTGTAAGGTTCACCCCGGTATAGCTGCTATTGTTTTTAAGAAATCTTCCTAAAGGTTATTAATTGACATTAATTAAGGTTCCTGATGACAGATTTAGAAAATGGTTTGGACATGATTTAATTAAGATTTTGGACTTTTTAATTTTCAAAACCATTTTTTTAATTTCAAGTTTTAGAGGGTAAAGTTGACTACTTTGAGTAGTTAAACTTTAAAGTGTATTTTTATACTTTGAGGAGTTAAATCATATTTTTAGTACTCTATGATTGTAAATTCATAAAACGGTGAAGGTTACATAGAGATTCAAAAAGCTAACTTCCTTACAGTCTAACACAGACTTCCTCTTCTACCAAGCGCAATGATAGACCAACAAACACGTGTTCACAAAAAGCCCAGCTGCTCCACTATGTTAGAATACTTCCCTTATGGCCCACCTTACAAAGGAAAGCTCAACCTGATGTTAAATCAATGGCACCCTAGTCATAGCAGAATCTGATGCTGCATGAAGAGATTGTGGAGACATTGCATGATTAATAAGAATTTTACACTTAGCTATACTTTTTTAAAATAGATTTTTATAGGTCCTCTAAATTAATAATTTTAAATAATCTAAATATAGTATTTTGGTTGTGTTTTTTTTGTCGCTACACCCCAAACCCATACAAAAAATGAACTAAGCATAACACTCAATCTGTGAAAAATTTTTAACTATTTTTCTGCCTGTTTCTGTCTCATTTGGATTATCACTCAATCCAATCTTCCAGTTTTTGGGGCGTAGAATCATTCAACATTTAACATACTGTCAAACAAGCAAAGTTTTTCATGTGCTGATGCTTACTTCCCTTGTTTTTGCATTTTGACATTTCTAACACGAAGATGTACAGGAAGCTTAGTGCATAAGGAAATGTAGACACACCACCTGGGTAAAACCACTGATTAGTTAACTGCTTTATTATTACGGGTGGATGGAAAGTAATTCGAACTTCAATATATTATCTAAAAAAAATTGTTTTCTTGTCTCTATGAATAAGTGGGACAAACATGAAGAAGTTCTTTTTTTATGTGGAGGATGACACAAGCTACAGGCTTCTATTTGAAGGAGAATATCAGCCAAAACAAACAGAAATCACAATATTCTTTGTTTTGTGTAATCTCTGTTTCATGAACAGCTGTTTGATGGAAACTGTCAACCTCTATCTTAAAAAAAGTCAAGGAGGGGGGTTTACTCTTAGTTTGATTCTTCACAGCATTTTCCTGCATGCTGTGACCTGCAGAGCTCATTGAGCACCCTCAGAAAATCTTTTCCATCAAACACACCTCTATGCCTCCAGTTTTAATGCGGGACATATTTTCTTCAAGTTACTGACTTAAAACATATTCAAGTCATTAAACTCTAACAAAGTATTTGAGGTTTTTCTCTGGAGTTCTAAACTCTAAGCTCAAGGGACAATCATCCCCATTAACCGATCTAAACTCTGGTTAATAAAAGTAGTAGGCAGTTTTACTTAAGACCAGAAAAGTGAAGGAAAATAATGGCGTACCCATCTCCTACGACCACACATTTGATCGCCTGCATCCTGTTCCGCTCAGCTTCGTCTGTGCTCCTCTATGTGACAAGCAAGCTTAGAGAGGAAGGTTGAAAGACTCAGATCAGCATGCAACTACAGGAAATTGTTGCACACCTCCCTCCCTCCCTCCCTCTGCACCCTCTGCTACCTCTTCTTCTCTAATGCTCTCCCTCCTTAATTTTTGCACACATCTCTTCTTCCTGTTTGCCTTTTTCTTCAGTCATTTTGCCATGTTCAGTAGATTCTAACTTTGAACAGACTACCTAAAGCAAAGATTCTAGATTATTTATCCTTAAATTGTCACAAAAAAAAAAATCTGAAAAGAGGAAGATTGTTAACAGCCTAATCTTACACTTCCTCCTTTGTTTGTGTGCAAACCAACAGTCACACTTGTGCAAACAGACAATGAAACCATGCAAACAAAAAATGTTTGCCTTCTGAAATTTCAGAATATTTTTTTTTTATCATCTAAATTTGCAGTAACCCACAGTTTTGCTTTACATCTTCTAGAGGACATATTTTTTCCACATTGGGTCAAAGGAATAACATTTCCAAGGAGGAAAACCCACACACCCCTCTTCCTCTCAAATTGATTCAGCTAAAGTTGATTCTGCATGGAGTTCGCGTTCCCTGTAGGATATGACCAACATGCTTCCAAAATGAGTTGTTTGGAACACCTGAGCTGATCCCTTTGATGGTGGCTAGTAGTTCTGTTCAAAATCTTTCACAGAAGCTTTGCACCCTACTGGTAAGGCTGGGTCAAGACATACAACTAAGCAACATTTAACTTCCATTTCTTTCTGTGGAAAGCATTTTGTTACCCTAGGACTGAGCTGTTCAACTTTTATGTTAAATAACTTTAGTCCAGCCCCTGAATGAGTTTGTTAGACAAATAAAAAGGAGAGCTTGTGATGATTGCAAAGGATAAAGATCATTGTTCTGGCAAACTGTTTATAGAAAATGTCAGACCTTTAGCCTTAATAATAGTTGCTTATGTACATGGGGCGGGTACTCTCTGTCAGCACTGGGTCTCTGTAGGGTGGAGGGGAGAGTCCTGACCCCCTTTCTGTTGTCACTCTACGTGTAGGGGTGTATACCAACCCACAACCCAGAGATTAAATGTTCTGATGATACAATGGTGGTGGGGTTGATCAATGGTGGGGAGGAAACCCCACAGAGAGGAGGTTTAGGAACTGACTTCAAGGAGCAGACTCAATGACCTGGTCCTAAACGCTAGGGAAACAAAAGAGCTTGATTTCTGGGGGTGAGAGTAACACCATGAAGTCAACAGTAAAGTGGTGGAGAGGGGGAAACACTACTAAGACCTTGACAAACACTTATCCATGCACTTAGAACGGACTCAGAATATCAACTGTTCTGTAAAAGAATTGTAGCAGTGACTCTATTTTCCAAGATCACTTTTTATTTTTATTTAACCTTTATTTTACCAGGAAGTCCCTTGAGATAAAATCTCTTTTTCGAGGGAGACCTAGCCAAGAGGCAGCACTACAGTAAGACATATAAAAAAACTTAGAAAAACTTAGAAAACTTAGAAACCCTGATCTATCACGTCAGTTTCTGTCTTCTCACCACCGTACCACTGAAGGTGTCCTGAAACATGGCATCTTACTCTGGTACTGTAGCAGTTCAGTAGCTGGAAAAAAAGGCCCTTCAGATGATGAGGAAATCAGCCAAACACTAGAGGATATTTACACATCCTGCCGCCTACAGAGAACTGCAAATATAACCAAGGACTCATCTCATCCTTCTCACCATCTCTTTCAGTTGGTGACATCTGGCAGGAGGTAGATCAGAACCCAGTGGTCACTGATATATATATACACCATATACACCTTTAACAGACATTAGTCTGTTATAACCCAAACACTTTCAATGAACTACATTCTTTTTTTTTTTTTTTTTTTTACGAGTACATATGTTTATGTGGACTCTATGTTAATGTGTGTGAGTGGGTGAGAGAGTTTGTGGGTGAAGTTGGACTATTTTCTTTTTCATTTATTACTATATATTTTCAATTCAGACGTATTGTCTTTTAAAGTGACCTGCTTTATAATTATACTTTTGACTTTTATTGTATGATATACAAAAACAATAAGGGGAATCTGAGTTACTTTTAAAATGTTACTAGATCAAGTTTAATAACTTTGTTGTTGAAACTAAGTAAACCAAGGGGACTTTCCCAACTATTAGCACCAAAAGAAAATAAATACAGTATAAATGATATTTTTGTAAAGACTAGTGAATCAGAATTGTCAGACAGACTTGTTATCTGTGGTATAATGTGTCATTTTTTTGTGTTACACATTAAAATCTTACTATTTTCGCTGAATATTAATTCACTGAAGTAAAATAAATATTATTAATAATATTAGATAAATAGCCATTTAGATGAGTAATAAGAGGAATAGAAGAAAGTTGGAACATAGACTGGTAAATTGAGAGCTTTATTTCTTGCCAATCGAGAACTTCTTTTTAATTATAGGGTCGTGGGATGACAGTAATTGTATAGATGAGCCTAAATTTACTCCATGCTAGAATTAATCTAATCCAATCCAATCCAGTCCAATTCAGGTTTACTCATATAGCACCTACATAACCGCAGAGGCCCAAATTATTGTATATAGCACATCAGATACTGAAATTACAAATGCTGTCACACAGACATAAAAGCATATGCTTTTACTATGTATTAAAAACCAAAACACAATACTTCCAAATCTTATGTTTTAACCATAAATGCTAAAAATTCAAATTGAATGTTTATAATCTACTGCAATGTAATGGCTGACTTCTTATACCGAGTAAAACAGAGAAAGTCTCAACTGTGCTGCTAAAAACCATGACTCAGCTTTAAAAACAGTTGCAAGCCATCTAGGCAGCTAAAGAGGTTTCATTTTTCTATTTAAGCAGGATATAATTGTAACTACTATGAGCAAAACAGCGGAAGAACGTCAAACTACCTTAATATGAAGTCTAGCAGAAGTAAAGAAAGAGCAAAAAAAAAAAAAAAACTACAAGTACAGTTGCAACAGTTAAGTCTTATGGGACAAAGAGGACACAGACACCTGAATATTTAGATATGAATATGACATTAGAAACTTATAACAAAAAGTAAACAATGCATAAAAATGTTTTTTATCCTCGGAGCTTTAAAGTTTTAAAACTTTCACAGTTTCTAAGAAAGACCACCAACTGTCAATGAACCACCTTTCCTTTAGTTAAGAAAATAGGGTTAATTCATCAGGGTTTGAGTCCATCCAGGGGCGTCCATAGGTTTAAGAGACAAGGGTGGCTCAGCCCCTAGAAGATATTGTGCGCGCATAGCGGGCGCCAAAATTTTTTCAGTGCACCTGCTAAGGCGTTGTTTAAGACAAGGGTGTAACTTTGTGTTGAAAGTGGGTGGGGACGGCTCATAAGGAAAGGGAGCTACCTGCGCGACGCTTTTTTTTTTTTGTTGGAAAGGATAAAGCCAAAAAAATGCGAATAACATTTATCAATTTAATGCTTACAGTTGAAAACATAACTGTTACAATATTCACTTATATATTTTGTGCAAAAAATATCACATAAATCTAAACAGTCAATTTTGAGTAACTTTTTAAAACTAATTTACTTTTAAACCAGGACTCGGACAAGATCTTATGGGGCCTTAAGCAGAATATGATTAAGCAACTCCGTCTTTCTGTCAAGAACATCCACCAGCAGGGTATCCAGGGGGGAATTTACCATTAGGCAATACTAGGCAGTTGCCTAGGGCCCCAAGTTCCTGGGGGCCCCATAAAACTCTGTTTCCATGTATGGTTAATATAACTAATCCTTATTTGTGCACATTAATTATGTTTTTGATAAAAATCCTTTGGCTAAAATGCCATCAGAACGCTGATAGAGAGGAAAAAGGGACAAGAAGAGAGGGACAAAACCTAGAACAAATAATGGATGTCTATTCTATTAACATTTCTCTATCTGTTGAATGGGTCTGTTTTATGGGTTTTCTTCTCAGGGGGCCCCCTGCCTGTCTTTGCCTAGGGCCCCAAATTTCCTAAATCCGCCCCTGAGGGTATCAATACTGATTTGATAGAATCTGGGAGAGCGGACTATGTTCAACCATCCATTTTCTTTAACCGTATCCCTTGCTACTGAATGGCAACACTATCAAAGTCAGGAAAAAGTTTTAAGTAAAGCCGGGATTAAAACAGTAGCTACAAGAAGCTTCAAATAAAAGGTGTTCTTTATGTTCAACCTAAACACCAACTCCGATAGACCATCAGTAGAGCAGGTGTTTAAATTAATCAATCACTGCTGTGAAAGCTTATAGCAGTGAAAGCTAATATACCACAGCCATCAATTAATACACGCAAAATAAACAACCCTCTAAAAACGGAAAACTGTAATGGACTGAAAGTCCTGTTTTTTATGTGGGAAATTATTTGGGGAGAAAGCGAGAGGCAACAGATTCTTTTTTCTGAGTTTTTTGTCGGGGTTTGTGGATGGTGAGCAGCGAGGAGAACTTTTTTTATTTTCTTTCTGAGGAGCGGCATGAATGGGGTTTTAATCAGATATACACAGCACCGAAAGAAAAATACGTGTACAAAATATTGGTGGGGACTGTCCCCCTACCGGTCAAGATTGGTGGGGACATGTCCACACCAGTCCTTAAGGAAGTTACGCCTATGATTGTTCAGATTAACTTGTCTTCTTTATGGCTTTTATTCGGTGCTTTACTGCATTTGTTTTGGTAAAATATGAGGAAAAAATAAATACAGAAAAAAAAAATATTTTTTTTAAAATCGCAAAATAATTATAGGGTGGCTAATGCCAAAGAAAGGATGACTGAAGCCACCCTTAAATAGGTCTAACGACGCTTATGAGTCCATCCATCCATTTTCTAGTACACTTATTCGCTTATTGAGTACACTTATTTCTAGTCGTGAGGGGTGCTCCAGCAATCAATAGGCGAGAGGCGGGACCCTGGACAGGTCGCCAGTCCATCACAGGGAAACACAGCGACAAACAGGACAAACAACCATTCACACGCACACTCACACCTAAGGAGAATTTAGAGAAGCCAATTAACCTAACGTTCAATGTTTTTGGACCGTGGGAGGAAGC